TGTTTAATAAAGAATTATTTAAATATTATAGATGGCACGTAAAAAATTTGATTGACAATGCATATAAGCAGCACTTACATTTGACACAACGTAAAATTGCTGACGACCCGGCTAAGTTCTGGGAATTTATCAAAGATAGGAAGAATGACAGGCGCTCTGTGGACGTTTATTCGTATGGGAAGGATGAAGTGATGGGCCAGGCCGCTGCTGACGCCTTTGCGGAATATTTCAGTTCGGTGTTTCAAAGTGAGGTGCCATTGTTGAACCCGCTGGACGCTTCACTAGCAGCAAGCATTCATGCTGATGCCACTTTGATTTCTGTCAGTACATTTGACGAGTCTGAACTGAGGTTGGCAGCAAGACGATTGAAACCAAAATCGTCGGGGGGTCCCGATGGCATTCCGGTCTTTCTGGCTAAAGATTGCATATCCATTCTTAAAGTCCCAATCCTGTATCTCTTTAACTTGTCGCTTGCACGCTCAACTTATCCCGAGTTCTGGAAATTGTCTAGAGTAACTCCTGTGCCCAAGGTTGACGCAAATAATGATGTCACATCGTTTAGGCCAATTGCAGTATTGTCAGTTTTTGCAAAAATATTTGAGATACTGTTGTGTTCACGCATCAATAAACAAGTGAAAAATCTCCTACATGATAGCCAGCACGGATTTAGAAACGCTCGTTCAACAACTACAAATCTTGTGGCTCACGTAGACTACATTTATGCTGAAATGGATGCGGGTAGGCAGGTGGATACCGCCTATTTTGATTTTAAAAAGGCTTTTGACTTGGTTGACAATGACATCCTGTTGTATAAGTTGGCGGTAATGGGCTTTTCTCCAGGGCTGCTTGAGTTTTTCTCAAGTTACCTCTGTAATCGGCGCCAATTCGTTAAGGTTAGACATTTTGAATCTAATGATTATTACACTCGATCCGGAGTGAGCCAGGGTAGCACCTTGGGGCCCTTACTTTTCCTGATTTTTATCAATGACCTTCCTCAGCGTGTTGGTCTTTCCAAATGTCTGCTGTTTGCTGATGACCTCAAGCTTAGTCTGGGTGTAGGGACATCAACAGATTGCGAAGCTCTGCAAAGGGACATAGACGCGGTAGGAGACTGGAGCAGCGAAAACCGTCTTCCATTTAATATCGATAAATGCAAAATAATCTCCTTCTCGCGTAAACGCCAGCTGATTAATACGCCTTATACTTTATTCGACGCTGCCCTTCAAAGGGTAACAGATATTCGTGACTTAGGTCTTCGGTTGGACTCTGGACTTGACTTCCATGACCATGTGACGGCAATATGTAAGGTGGCAAACAAAATGCTTGGATTTGTCATGCGTACGTCATCTGAGTTTGATAATTTAGGTGTTGCTACTATTCTCTATAATGCCTACATACGTGCCAAACTTGAGTATGGTGCCATAGTCTGGGCTCCGTCTGAGGAGAAATACAATATTATGCTTGAAAGGGTACAACGTAAATTCGCACGATGGTTATATAAGAAAAGATATGGCTACTATCCTTACTTATACCCTTCTTCATTTGTAGCTGGTATGGTTGATCTGGAGACTCTTAAGTTCAGGAGGGTGTTGCAAACAATATTGCACTATCTGTCAATAATGCACCACAAAGTAGACAACCCTGTAGTACTAGACATGGTGAGATTACTTGTTCCCAAACGACTGGCGTGGAATGAGCAAGGGACAGTTGCGCCGAGGCGTCGGCCTCGCCTTTTGTGGTCGCCTCAAACGCGCACCAACTATGCGTCACAAGCACCTACTGTTCGCGCATTGGGCCTTGTTGGGGATATGATCGCTCATGACAATGATATCGATATATTTGCCGACCACTTTAAAAAACTATGTTCTAAAACTGAAACATTTGTCAATAAATTATTTAACGCTATTCAATAATGATGACCTTTTGACCTAAATGTGTGACTTGATATTCGTAAATATGATTTGGTACTTCTTAATTATTAAGGCTCTTCACAGTTATTTCTATTGTAGAGATATTGACATATTGATTCTTTTTATTTGTAGATTTAATATACAATATCCTAGATTTTATGTATTTGGACATGTACTACAAATATCTGACATTTATTAATTTGACATTATTTATTTGTATTGTATTCTATTTTTATTATTTTTATGACATATTTTTTCTTCTTATTTTAATTAACTAGCTTGCTGGCGTGTTGGTACCCACTGTAAGCCAGTAAGTGCATTTTAATAATAATAATAATAATAATAAATAATAATAAAAGGCCGGTAACGCAGTTCTAACGCCACTGGTTTTGCGTGTGTCCATGGGCGACGCCGATTGCTTACCATCAGGTGATCCGTAATTATACTCGTTTCCCGGGTTATGCCATAACAATCAAAAATAAATGAAAATCAAAAAATTATTTTATATTCGTTTATATTTGCACATTGATTTCATTTGTTACATTTAATTATACATAAAGTCTTGATCTTAATAATAAGCTGAGATCACTTAGAAACTAAATTAATTAATAATACAATATAATATTTAAGTTTATTTACAACATTTTTGGTGCAAATGTAACCTTCATTTGAAATGAAATAATCATTAAGTTGGTTTAAATGTAAACGTATTGGTTCATTTAAAGTGGCGTATTTTTGGGCTCATTTTTATGCAAGATTCGGTGACATCTAATTTGGCAGAATAGCTGACAGAAATATACACATATTTGCACATATGGCGCTTTGTATACTTCAACTGACTTCAAACCAAATCAATAAATTCGTCAGATATTGGGCTCGTACACAAAACTGCGATGAGACATTGCATCGCAAAAATATGCGAGCTCCCTCTATGCATTGCAAGAACTTGCGAATTGATTCGCATCGCGCATCAAAATCTTATCTTCCTAAAATCTTATTTGTTGCCTGTATCTACTCAGCAATAACAGAAGTGCACTCTTTTTTTTTACGATCCATGTCATGACCTAGTTATCAATTTAAAATACGTTTGGTACGGTTGACGGTCGTCGAAAGAATGGTCACCCTCGGAGACGCATGAAATCGCATCGCAGCAATTCTCATCGTAATTGTTTGCGTTGCGAATTTGCATCGCAGTTTTGTATACGAGCCTTCTTTTCTTTGTCGAAATCTTAAAGAAGGATTTATATACCATGCTGTATACTTATCTAAATGATTAATTTGTTTACTATAGGTGGCGCTGTGTTCGAACGTAGTGATGTCTGTCAGTTCACACAAGTATTCATTTTACATTTCTAAAACGGACAATTAAAATGTAGGACGGATTTTAAACGTAGGTTATAAATTATAATTTTTGCACCAAACAATCTACAGAGGGAATATTTACAATTACATACGTATTATCTAGATTCCTAGGTATATACAGACTTATTTATTATGTTATATTATTTTATTTTTAACAGAATACAAGAGGTAAGACAAATAGACAAACAGGCAGCTGAACCTTTTAAACTGTGATCTCCAATCCGATTGTCAAGCTTTCATCAACAGCCTATAAATGTCCACTGCTGAGCAAAGCTTCTCACACGGAGAAGGTTTGAGCATTACTCACCACGCTTGCTCAATGCGGGTTGGCGATTACAAACTTATAATTAGAAATTATAAGCCCAGGTTTCCTCACGACGTTTTCCTTCACCGTTTGTCAGTGGTGTCTGAATAATCTTAGAAAGTAGGTACATATAACTCGGAAAAAGTCACATTGGTACTTGCCGTTGGTAGGTTTCGAACTCATGCATGAGAAGCGGGCGTCTTAAACCTCTGGGCCACCACGATAGGTGATTGTCAAGCTTGGCGATTGTTAAAACAGACATTTTTATCAATCAAAAATTTGTGTATTTGAAATAAATGTTTTTTTTTTCTATATTTGACCACTATCTCGTTTGGTAAGCGATGATGCGGTCTACGATGGAACAAGTGGGCCCAGAAGCAACCTATTCACTCAGGCCTTGAAGATCTTGTAGTTGTACTTTTATAATAAAATTACGAACCTCTTACATTCTGTTAATAATAATTACACAATTTTAATAAATTATGTTGTTTATATTATGATTTTAAGGTAAGAAAAATTTTCGGTTGTATTCTATTGTAAGTTAAAACCCTGTAAAAATAATTGTTGTTTGCATTGCTATCTAAAAATGCCTTAGATACATATTATTAAATGTAATATTATAATATTACCTAATAGGACAGTTTCCTAAATTTTATTTCAATGTCCGTTTGGTAGATTAAAACATTAGACACGTATTTTTTTCTCACAAAATTAAATACTTTCGATGACATATTAATTTGAAATATCGTGTGACGTCACAGCGTGCTACATTTTGTGGCACATTGTGACGTAACGACCTCCCACTCCTACGCTTAACTCTGATTTATCTAAGTATTGTAACATTATACGAGAAAATAAAAAAAATACGTGTCTAATATTTTTTTCATTGTCTAACTGACGGACTAATTAGATTTTTTATTTTCTTACCGTGGCAACTACCCTATTAGGAAATAAACGCAAGTAAAATTATAGGACCAACACGTATTTATTTTCATTATTTTAACACGTCAAAAGCCGTAGGGGCCTGACTGATCAGTGAACGGTGCTAACGGAGGATTTACCTTTAACAACAGTATTCTGTTGGCATTTAAGTAAATAATTCGTATAAAAATAATTGGAAATCCACAACAGAATATCTTCTGCAATCAAAAAGTTTAATTCATTCTTCATACAACTTGTTATTACTGAAAATTATTTTTTTGGATATGTCAAATAGATTTTATAATAGCTATCGTGACATACATAGACATGCTAAATTAACTATAAATCGCGGGTCACTCACGTGAATATACTGAGAAAAGCACTACTAGTTTCGAACCACAAAGGGTTTCTTCCTCATGAGCAGCGTGCGCGGTCGCGGCGATGTCGATAGCAATGAGTAGGCTGCGCGAAACTACTAGAGCTTTTCTCAGTATATTCACGTGAGTAACCTGAGATTTTAAGTTAATGTCAAAAATCGATACCTACTGTCCAAGTAGAGGCAAATTTTTAAGTAAACGGCGTAATTGTTATTTACCAAAAAATCTGTTTGTAGTACGTATCTAAGGATTTTTAGTTAACATTTTTTGTAGAAAATCATTCCAGAAATTGTTATTTTGATATTATAATTCCATCACTGTGTTTCACCTATATATAACCTCACTATCATTTTATTAAACATACGATTTTATTTAGTTGTTTTAGTCTAATTTATGATATTAAAGGTCTGGGCAGACAGGTGATATAATCGCAAATATTTGTTTTCACGACATATTTTTTAGAATTTTTGATAATATTGCATACTGATTTCCACTCCTATTTTATTTTTTTTAGGTAGTTAGTAAGTAGTTAAATTCTTATACTGACATTGTTCCACAATTGCTCAAGATTTCCTACATCGCCCAACGAACAACTGTTGGGCAGAAAGCCCGTCAGGCATGATCACCTCGCCTGGTCGGAGGATCCTCCTCTTCCGATCATAGGGAACTATACTTTCTATTCCCTAGAAGGTTATGCCAGATTTTATGCAAGTTTAGATGTAAGTTGTTTGCCTTTTGAGACTTATAAACTGTAGCATCGAGTAATCAGTATCTATCAAGTAATTTGAGACTCGGAACCACATCAGTAAAAGCATTTAAACCATTTATAAACGTATTATAGTAAGTACATTATCAATACTTAAATCCAAACGAAAATATACACAACACTACACAATTATAATACAAATTCTCGTCTAACATACAAAAACAGGTCATGTTACATTAATTTCTTCATCACTGGCACTAGCATCGCTTTCAAACTCATCTTCCTCCATATTTTGATACGAAATTTCGCGGGAAAACATTTGACCGCCCGCCATCTTGTCATCATAACCTCGAAAATCATTTGACGTTGTCGCATATACTTTTTTCATGTCCTCAGCCTGTTCCTCAGTCGAAGGTGATAACGGAGACATCTTTGGTTTGTCAGCTTCAGCGTCTGATAGGTCAGGGTGTGGATTATTCTTGTTTGGCAAGGTTTGTTCTCGTGACCCACCTGATGCGAGGAGTTCCCGCTCCTTTGAGTTTCGCCATTTCATGCGCCGGTTTTGGAACCATATTTTTACCTGTGGATAGAGAAGATTTTGTTAGTATTGGTGGAAATAGAGTCGTGGTGGCTCAGAGGCTTAAGGTCCTCAAGCATGAAGGTGGTTAAAAAACTTGGTAAGTGCCAATGTGTCCTGTGCCTATGAACACTTTCCTCGTAACCGATTTTATTTTTTTTTCTATTAGGCCGTAGTTTGAACCTGTGACCATTTTCTCGGCGGACGCCTATGTACAAAAAAAAAGACACTGATTTTTCTGCCAGCTGATATTCCCAAAAAATCATTCTAATCATAAATATTTATAGCAATAATAACAGCAATCATTCATTTTCTTTACAATAAAAAAGTATTAAAACAACATTATTGGATTTACTCCATTACCAAAAAAAGTCATAATCGTCAAAATTATTGACAAATGACATTAATGACAGCAAAAAGGGCGCGAAACTACGCTCGTAACTTTTTTTACTTAATAAATACTTTTTTCACGAATCGAATTCTCATTTGTATCGTAAAAATCGTTTTTATATTTTTTTTCTCTCCCGCAGAAATTCTAACAGTTTTACGGAATAAATAGCGAGTAACGGCGTATTGTGTTTGACGTCGCATGTTATTGATGGTCGGAGGCGGGGCTGTACGGCTATGTTCCTTTGCCTGCGTTCGTTGTGTTTAGAAAAAAAAAAAGCGTTGACGTTTGACCGCGCGCGCGGTTTTTGTTGTGATTTTATTTTTCTTTTTTTTTTGTATTGTGCACGTCATGCAGTGTTTTTAAACCTTTAGTTTTGAAATTTTAATTTTATACAATTGTTGGTACATTTTTTGATAGGTTTAAAATAATAAAATGTTATTTATCCATTTCAATAGATAAATCGGTATTTACCTCGTTAGCCAAAAGGTCAACCAGTAAGAAGCTTTTCTATAACTAGGTTGCGAAAAGTATTCTTGGGAGTTCCATCAGATTTTCAACAATTTCTTAGTGAACACAGTGTTTATAGAACTTTACTAATTCATAAAAATATCGCCACCAAATCACCAAATGATACAAATTACAAAATAAAATAATAACGTTATTTTGCCAAGAATAAAAACTCCTATACATCATCCGATTGATCGGTCCGGTGACGTGTAGGCGTGAGCCACGGTGTGTAGGACAAAGCTATTGTAATGTCAATATTGAAATGTCATTCTAGTATTGTGTGTTACCAGATTAATATAAATCTGTGATTTTTTGTCTGGTAATCATTTTTTTTGTTTTATTAAAATTATTTGTTATTTAAACCTATGTGGTTCGTTTTGGTTTTATTTAAACAAATCCAGATACCATGAGTTGAGAAATCTTTAAAAAACCGAAAAAATCTGATTTGGGTATCAAACCCGCAACCCCGATAGTCACACCGTCACACTAGCGACTACATAATGAACCGCTAAATACATAATGAAACTTCCAGAGGGGACACAATTGCGACAACAGCAGCGCTCTTAGTGTTAAATTTTATGCGAGACGACTCTGTACAAAGATTTCAAATAACACAAGAAAAACTGCGTAACTAATCGACTTTCTTCAACCATGATTAGCAATTTGACAAACGACTGCCAATTCTCAACAAAATAGCGAATAAAAAATGAATCGTTTTTTTTTAAAAAAACAAATATTTTTAACGTAAATGACAAATTGGGCCCGCCAATAGCCCGTGACCAATCAAACTGATCGATGTTCGCGCCCGATTCAAATATCGAATCATTTGTCAAACTTTTTAAATATGGCCGCGTTTTTTACGCGCCGAAATTTTCATTGTGTCAAATTGAATCGTTAAAAATCTTGTCAATCTTTTATTGAGAAATTGAAATAATGTAACAGATGGTGTTCGTAATGATTTTTGATTTCATGGTTTTAATATAGTGTGATTGAAATGATCTATGCGTTGGTAATGTGTGTTACTTTCTTTGATAGTTTTGTGACGACGTTAGGGTTAGTAGTGCGTCTTATTTTTTTTATTCCACTGTTACACAGTAGCTATGTAGCATATGGCTTTTAATGGTATCATTCCGAGCAATAAGTTAATTGTTTATTATTAGAGGTATTAAAATATACTAACGTTGCGACTGCCTCATTGGCTGAGTGGTCGCAAATTCGACTGCCGGGCAAGGGGTCGCGGGTCGGTTCCGAGGTCGGGCAAAGTATTATTGGGTTTATAAAAATACTCAGTTATAGCACAGAGTCTGGAATTGTGCCCGGTATATGGCAATAGGCTCACCCCCTATTACATGGAACTCATAACATGAATAGCGAAAAGTTGGTGTTACATTGTACAGTGGCATTAATTGCCGTAATGTGCACCTCTGCCTACCCCTTCGGGGATACAAAGATTGGTAAGTATATTATGTACTAATGTTGAAACACTCAAACACCAATCAACTTTAAGTCGTGCTTAAATATAGTTCTATCACTATACATTTTTTGTTAAGTTAAGTGCAACTTAAAATTGGGGAACTTTTCAGTATTCGGGTGTAAGTATTGCAAATTTCAGTATTCGGGTGTAAGTATTGCAAATTTCAGTATTCGGGTGTAAGTATTGCAAATTTCAGTATTCGGGTGTAAGTATTGCAAATTGTAGCTACAAAGCTTACGGTTTGATGGTAAGCGGATACCATAGCATAATTACACCTGTGCCTTTAGCCAATCGCCACTTAAGCGCTTGTCTACAGAGAGAGTAGAAATCAAAATGTATGGGGATGACACTGACAAGTGTCAAAATTTACGTCAATTCCATATAATTTTTAGTTTTCTATTCTACATGTAGACAACTGCTAAATGGTATTTGGCTACAGCTGCTGTAACGCTAGATCTGTAGGTATCATGAGTGTGTTGCTATTTGCCAACTACATAACTGGGTAGTTTCCTTAATCAAAAATAGATTATTCTTTATGACTGTTCAATACAATAAAAAAAAACACTTTCATTCATAGATTTTTTGACTAACTAACTTAATTTTAGTATTTTTCCAGCATCTTTTTAAGATATAATGGTATGCTGTTTGACGACGAAAAACGTGACGTCACAATTCACAATCTCGTACAAAATTCATAGAAAACCGTCGTTTTGACAGTTCGAAAATAAGTATTGAATTTGACTTGTTGGCTGCCAATTGTGCAGTTAACCGTTTAGCTCATTAGCGGCATCGCCTACAATGGTATTTCAAATATTTCTGTTGAGTACATACGTCTCGATCTTGTAAAAATATTATAATAGTTTCTGCTACTCCCCAAAAGGTAAGTTTTCCAATAGTGAAAGATACTAAGAAACAGTCAAATCTTTCTTCTTTATAATACTAGTTTAAACTGAATAATTCCCAACCAAGTGCCAGGAACCAAAATCAACAAATATGAATTCGAAATCCTTCAAAATCTTGGGGCTCCAAAAGTCATTGGTTCGTGAGGCGAGGCGAAAGATCTGGAGTAATCCGGTGACCGATCCCCCTCACTTGGCGAGAAGGGTGGTGACAATATGCCGCTGGCAGATGACGCCGGCCCTTTTGCGATTAGGGATGCGGGGGTTTAAAGAGTTATCGATAGGTTTTGTCGGGTTTTTTTAAAATAGTATTATGTATTTCATTGATTATTGTGTCAGATATTGTGCTCGATAGCTAACTAATTAGATAATACAAATACATTTAAAATATAAAGTCTTCTTGAAAGTGCAATTTTTTAGATATTGAATCAATAATAATGTGTATTGAATCAATGCAATTCAAAATGTAGTGGTCGTTCTAAGTAACACATACTACAGCTTTAAGATTGTTTAAACACTAATGAAAAACTTCGAATAAGAATAGTATGAGGATAGCTCAACTTATTTCAATAGTAAGTACCTACATTTACGTTTCAAATCGCCAATTTATCTTCAGTCTGTGATGCCGATTCAGTTTGTTTCTTTCTAAAGAGACCTTTTGTTCACCATTAGTTTAAAAATGAACCACTGAAATAGTAAACATAGATTATATATTGTTAATTTATTGTAGTTTCTGAACACAACTTAAGTTTCCAATTGTTGTCACATGTGGCGCTACTAGTGCGCATTCTTTGTTCTGTGATCTGTCATTGTGTTCTCTGTTATCTTTACCGGTTAATAAACGTATTGTTAACCTTTCATGTCGTTTATTATTCTTCAACAGGAACTATTTTATTATATCTCTTTTCATTACTATCTTATAGACCACTTATCAAACAACGTGAGATATACTAATTAATTTTACAATACTATTTGACGAGAACCTTTACTAGTTTCAAGCCATGCTGGAGGCTCATATTCGTAGCAGCGCGACAGTCACCGCGTCGAGTTCCTCGTCAAACAGTTACGTCCGTAAGCCGAAAACATAATATTTAACGTTTTTCACGCTGCTATGTATAAAAACCAACAGCGAATAATATCGACATCGATACCACAGTCCGTAAGCACATCCCTACAAGAGACAGGGGTTGCCGCCTAAGTATTAATTACTTTTTGACATATTCACTTTTATTACAATTTATATACGGAATAGAGATGTAACGCGTGATACTGACGTTTACTGAGTAAGGGGGTGGAGAGGGGGAAGGGGGATAGTTTATTACTTATTTGTTTATTTATTAAACTGTCAAACACCAAGCGGTCACCGGTGACCGCAACCTATTGTTCTATAATTGTGTCTATAATGACGGTACTCGACGAGTTAATTGAATTTGTTTTACGTCATTATGTGTTTTTGCAGTCGTTATATTTGGAACGTTATACTTTCGAAGCTCCTTCTTGAATCACGCTATTTATTGACTCGTCGTGTGTTTAAACGTGGACCCACGCAATTTTTTTTCTTATAGGTAAAATAAATTTATTTGATTTGATTTAAATGCTATAATTATTATTGTACTAGCGACCCGCCCCGGCTTTTGGTGCAATATGTATTATTGTTCGGGATTAATAGGGATAGTGCTTGTATTACAAATATAAACCTTTCTTAAGAATCACTCTATCTATTTTAAAAACC